CATACATAAATGGCACAACAAATTGATGTTTCTCTCCCTCATTTCCTCTCTTTAAAAACCCATTTAAGCCGAGATCGGTTTGGATCAGTAGATAGAGCGTCGGCCTGTGGACTGAGGGGTTCCAGGTTCGATTCTGGTCAAGGGCATGTGCCTTGGTTGCGGGCACATCCCCAGTGGGGGGTGTGCAGGAGGCAGATCGATGTTTCTGACTCTCTCTCTCCCTTCCTCTTTGTGAAAAATCAATAAAATATATTTTAAAAAATAAAAGAAAATGTTTAAAAAAACATTTAAAAAAATTAGTGTGTGTGTGTGTGTGTGTGTGTGTGTGTGTGTGTGTTGGGTATTTGTCCCCATTTGTGGTGTGGAGCTCCTCAAACCTTTGGAATTCCCTAAGTGACGTGAGTGGTAAATGTGTCTTTTACGTTAATAAGGTGACTTTTCAGCAGAAGAAGCAACCTTGTGATTGAAGGGTGGAAATTTAAGTCCAACACTCAGACCTCCAGGGTAGAGAGGAGCTGGAGACAAGTTCAATCACAGATGGCCAGTGACGTGATGAGTGAGCCTGTGTTGTGAAGTCTCCATGAGGGTGTAAAGGACGAGGTCCTCAGAGCTTCAGGGTGGAGGAGAGGGTAGCCTGCTCAGAGAGCCCAGAGCTCGGTCCCCTTCCCCCCACCCCTGGACCTGCCCCCTCTTTGTCCCGCCGTTCCTGAGTAATAACTTTTGTAGAAACTGTAATCTAGGGAGTAACCTGGTTTCCTGAGTCTGGTAAGCTGCCCCAACAAATAAATTGAACCCAAGGAACGGAGAAGGGAACCTCTGATCTATCGTCCGCCAGCCTCACTGTGGCAGCCTGGACTTGCAGCTGGAGTTGGCATCTGAACGGGTGGGAATGGGGCAGTCTTGTCAGACTGACCCCCACACCTGTGGGATCTGACACTCTCCCTACGTAGAGAGTGTGAGGGTTGCATTGAATTGTGGGACAGACACCCAGCTGGTACCCAGCTGGTACCCAAGACTTGCTTGGGGTGTGGGAGGCACCTCTACCTACCTACCTTGCAGGATGTCACTCATCATAGGTCATGTCAATAACCCCTTTGTCCTGGCCTGTCCCTCGTGTGAAAAACATCTAAAAGCTTTCCTACGTTTGAGCGAATCCTGAACTGGGGTACACATGACAGGTTCAGCCACCTAAAACTTAGTCCGTATTCAGCAGAGAGGAAGACAACGCACTCATGTACATTATTTACCTTTTAAATTCCAGTGAAGCCCTGGGAGCAGAACCAGTAACTGCATGGTGACCGGCATTTCTGTGGCCTAAACCAGGGTTCCTAAACCTTGACACGGGTGACATGAGGGGCATGGGGATTCTCTGTCGTGAGGGGGCTGCGCTGGGCATTGCAGAAGGGTGAGCATCATCCTTGGCCCCTACCTTTGTCCCGGCCACTAGTAACCCAGTTTTGACAAAAATGTCTCTAGGTATTCCCAAACGTTCCCCGAAAGGCCTGCGTGACATTGTGTTTTTGTGCTAGATGCTGCTGAATGACAATTTAAAAAGCTTATCGGTTTATGTCCAAAACGTATCAAGATCAATATTTAAGAATAGACACAATAGATATTTAATAGACGCAGAAGATATTTAAGCAATGGTCCTGCCATTCTTTATTTCTCACAATACATTTTCTACAGAAGGAAAAAAACAAAGCCCTGCACACTTTAAATTCTGATCATACAGGTGTGTTTTTGCAGTTGCCTAAGGAAAGAATGAGCTTCTTCATGACTTTTTAAAATAACGTCCACGCCTAACGGACAAATCATACACTCGGCACTCGGTAACCGGAGTGAGCTCGCTTCCACGGGGAAGACGGAGCACCCCAGGAATGTAATGCAGTGACATCGCTGGAGCGGGATCTGTGACCCAAGCTGACTTAATAGAGGTTCACAGGCTCGAACCCCAACTTCTAACATACGACCACAGCCGGGTGGAAGGCCATGAGAGGAAAAGCCCCCCAGGTTTTTAGGGTTTGGAGAGGTTGGCCTTGGAGAGAAACAGGGGACTCCCATCTCCCTGATGAGGCCTTGGAAAAGCTGTGTCTGAGGCGCTGGGAACAGGTGGCACTTTCTGCTAGGAGTCAACAGCTTCCAATACTGGTCTCCATTTGTTAAAACAATGCATTATAAGATTTCTTTTATATATAAAAAAGGTTAAAGGCACCGTGAAAGAATGGATATTTGCACTTGATCATTTTAGAACTCAAAACAACTCAGAAGGCAACGTGATGCAGGCGCCAGCGCCCGCTGCTCCCCAGGGGCGGCGCTCACCCTCAGTGGAGCTGCTGTTCTGGCTCCCCGGGACTTAAGCTTTATTTAACACATGGGACTTAACGTTTTGACATTTTTTTCAAGTGTTACGGATTTAAAGAAGCCTCTTGTACTGCTCTAAATGAGCAAGGATTTCTTCTCTGGATAGGACTGGTGCTCAGAAATTATTTTTTAAGGATAAAAATAGATCTTCGGTCTGATGATTTCGTCCCTCCTCTGGCGCTTTGTTGGGTGACTCACCCAGGGAGGAGGAAGAGGCTGTGAAACCGAACATCTGTCCCTGCCCACAGCTGGGAGGCCGGCGGCTAAGAGGAGGATGGAGGCCCTCGATCATTGATGTGGTTCTAAGCCCCTCGCAGTGGGTGGCGGGTCGTAAGCAGGCTTCAGAAAGGAAGGGGCAGTCTGCTATGGATATTTGGACACCCTGATTACGACGACATTTATGTGTAAGAAACAAAACAGTGTATAACTGATTACAATTTAAAAGCTTAACTGCAACCAAATAAAATTTTGACTAGTCTTCATAGCTTCTTTGCTTGCTTTCAAGACAGAAACATTATTCTATGTCCTGGATTCATCCTTAAAGCGCCAGATATGAAAAACAGCCAAACTATCAAATCAGGACTGGTGGCAAGCACTGAACACAGTAACTTAAAGAACTAAGACTAACGGGGAATAGGGAGAGAGTATAGTATGTGATTTCATACAAAAATGTTCTGAAAATGTTGATATAGTACAGCTTTAAGAAGTAGGGGAGGAGAGGGAGCACAAATAAAAAACGTTCCATTGTTCTCATTACATATTGGTGGTAGCTGTATTAGCACTGTTATTCTGAACTGTGGCATGTGTAAGGTAATGAAAAAAATGTGATATTCTATCATGGCCTGTCTTGGAAAACCAGAATTCTCAGTATAGAAAAAATTGGAAATACAGTTGAAAAGAAAAAAAAAAAAAAAAGGGATTAGATTGTAGTACTCCATTTGACTTGAAAGTATCAAAATAAACTCATGGCCCGGCCAGTGTGGCTCAGTGGTTGAGCATCCACTTATGAACCAGGAGGTCATGGTTCCATTCCCCATCAGGACCCATGCCCAGATTGGGGGCTCCATCCCCAGTGTGGGTGTGCAGGAGGCAGCCTAGCAATCATTCTCTCTCATCATTATGTTTCTCTCTCTCCCTCTGCCTTCTCTCTGAAATCAGTAAAACATATATTTAAAAATAACCTTATGAAGTGTCTTATCTTTAAAAGACAAAGTTATTTCTTAGCTCCCTCCCAGAAACAATGGTAAATCTAGTTGCAATGAGTGAGCACGCTGACCTGTGCCCTGAGTCTGCAATCAGCACAAGACAGACGGCGGGAAACCATGATTCTAAGACCAGGTTCTCCAACAGGTACAGTTTAAGAAGAAGAGAGAAGGGGGAACGTGTAAGACAGGATATAAGCCCTAACGGGTTTGGCTCAGTGGACAGAGCGTCGGCCTGCGGACTCAAGGGCATGTACATTGGTGGCGGGCACATCCCCAGAAGGAGGTGTGCAGGAGGCAGCTGATCGATATGTTTCTCGATCATTGATGTTTCTAACTCTCTATCCTTCTCCCTTCTTCTCTGTAAAAAAAAATCAATAAAATATATTTTTTAAAAAGGGTTGTAAAAGGAACATCTCATAATAATTTTAAAGGAGTACGATAAAAAATAGTGTGCAGAGATACACACTTGGGCAATAAAATACTAAAGAAATACAAGAGAGTGACTAGTACTGAAGTCAATGTGATGGTTACTTTCATGGGATGGGGAACAAGCACTGTGAACTGTAACAGGACACGCAAAGGACATCCCGGGTGGCTGACAAGAGTGTTTTCCTGCAATGATGTGATGAGCAATAATTCTGTATGGTTTTCAGTATTTTTTTTTATGGTTTTTCTAATGGGTGAAATAAAAATTAACATCAAGGCCCTTTGGATTTTCCGCTAAGAATTATGGATGTGAATACCTCTACTATACATAACAGCTGGTGGTTCATAAGAACTTGCCTACATTATAGAAATAGTCCTAAACAATAAGCTACAAACATTTGAAAAATAGAATAGTAAGTTCTTATGTATGCAGTTATAAAAAGTAAAAAAGAATTAGGCATACGTTCCTAATGTGAAATTAATTTTGTTACGTTATGCTATACAATTTGGTTAAATGGACTGTGTCGACTTCCAAAATTTTCATTCCCCACCATACAAGGTTATTCATGTTATTCTATTAGAACATGATCATTGAAACAGATTTCCTATTTCCTTGCATGTCCACAATTTGTCTCACTTCACGCCTTTTGACATAGACCAAAGATTAGTTACCATGCCCTACCATGATGGTGCTATGATTGGTAAGTAGCATTACACATACTGTCATCCAATTTGCAAATGAAGATCCTCAACCCACAAATCCCAGCCTTACGTTCTCCTTCACATATTAATGGGCTAATGGAGACTATTTTTGTTTGTTGAGCATCTAAAGAGATCAGGAATGTAAAACAGATTTAAGCCATCAAGATAAATGCAGTTTTAAAATGCAACAGAACTGGGTTATACATTTCTGCCCATCGAACACCCACAATTCCCCTCCAGCTGTTCCAGCAGCATCTTAACAAATGGCGCAACTGTACGGTCTCCTTCCTTCTCCTTTTCACAACATTATGTGGTGTTTGAGTGACTCACATATTCCAGAAGTGACCGGTCTAATACCCTTCGGATAAGAGCTTCTTCAATTATATTAAAATCCTACAAGTAAGAAAAAGAGTTAGAAACATACAATCAGAGACAATTTTCACAAACTGAGAAGATCCCTGAGTTCAGTGGCCTGTACAATCTTCCATAAAAAAAACCTGTCAGGGAACCTAGCACTTTGGTTTGGGGACAGTGCATTTTCTACTTTATTTGACTGCCTACAAAGTGACCAGTCATTGTCATGGCAAAAGAGTCTTGATTTGGGATTTAAAGTTTTGAATCTGATCTAATGAGTAGTTTTTAATCATTACTACAAACACTGGTTGGACAGCTAGGTTCCACATAACAAGTCAAATAAAGTCAGGACATTTCCATAGGACTCAGCAATTTCAGCACAATGACTAAGTATCTATCTGAAAACTGCTGAAAGCAAAACTCTTTCTCCTTGCCTTCCTGTGGTCAAAATGGCATTCAAAACTTTGTCAGCACATTCTGTAAACAAGACAAAAACTATTAAGAGCCCTGTCCTTTGCAACTCATCTCCTCTTCCTTCAAAAACTAAAAAAAAAAAAAAGAAAAGAAAACCAACTCGTAAATATGTGTTTAAAGTCCATTCTGAAATATCTCTCTATATAAAAGCCTAAGCAACCATTGGACCGTTCAACCAGGAGCTATGATGCGCACTAACCACCAGGGGCTGACACTCAATGCACAGCTTGGAAACATGGAACAGAATGATGAATCTCAGAGGGAAAGGGGGCAGGGAGAAGGGCAGGAAGAGATTAACCAAAGGTCTTAAATGCATACTAGAGGCCCAGCGCATGGATTCATGCACTGATGGGGTCCCTTGGCCTGGCCTGCAGAGATCAGGCCGAATCCATGCACCAGGCCTCTGATATCCCCCCAGGGGTCCCAGATTGTGAGAGGGCACAGGTCAGGCTGAGGGACCATACCGGTGCACAAATCTGTGTACCGAACCTCTAGTAAAGCCATAAAGTCAAATAAATAAAATCCAAAGGAAAGCCATAAAGAATAGAAGAATATAGCCAAAACCGGTTTAGCTCAATGGATAGAGCATTGGCTTGGGGACTGAAGGGACCTGGGTTCGATTCAGGTCAAGGGCATGTACCTTGGTTGCGGGCATATCCCCAGTGGGGGGTGTGCAGGAGGCAGCTGATTGATGACTCTCTCTCATCGATGTTTCTAACTCTCTATCTCTCTCCCTTCCTCTCTGTACAAAATCAATAAAATATATTTTAAAAAAAAAGAAGAATAGAAGAATATAATATCTGGGACTCAATACTGGTTGTTTCTTAGGCAATGTATTAACCTTTGAGCTTCAGATATTTCATCCCTAAGTGAGGATAATAGAGTACTCCCTTGACAGTAGTTGTTACAAGAAATAAAATGAGATAATATGCGTGAGGTGCCTCCCATGGTACTTGGTAGCTGAGGAAACAAGCAAACAAACCAGCCGAAGAACACTGTTTCAGCCTCACTTCCGAATCCAAGAACATGGTTTTGAGGGAGTGGAAAGTATTCTCACCAAAGTGGTTTCTCCCTGGATTCATACTTGGAAAGGTCTTGAGAAGAATGGACTGAATGTGAACAGCTAGAACGGGTGATGGCTTTTAGAACATCTGATGGAGCTAAAATAAAGAGGAAGCCCTCCCTGTGTGCGGTGAAACATGGGAACACGGACCAGAGCCAGGCCCTGTGAGGCCTGTGTCGTTTGGGGACCAGAGACACTATGTGAGAGGCGGAGCAGAGCCCAGGAAGCTCTGGGGTAGCCTGTGCAGTCCCTCAAGGGGTCCTCATATTCCCACTTATTCTCTCCCACCTCCAACCTTCCTGAGATCCCTGCCCACACTGCAGAGCACTTGACCTGGATTCCCTTACTCAAGCCTCTCAAATGGACCTTGAGAGCTTGTGTGGAGATTCTAGCAGGGGAGTGCAGCTACTCGGATACCCTTCACCGAAGACTGGTCCTCTCCTCTTGGGGGAAAGTCGTCCTCTTCGACTGAGCGCGCAGCTTCAGGAGGGACACACATGGATCGGTGAGGGAGGAGGGGGACACCCGCCTAGGCAGCCAGATCAGCCGAATCAACCCTGGCAATCCATGGGGTGACAGATGTCGCAGCCAGATAGCCCTCACATCCAAGCCTCTCAAAAGCTTTGGGGAATAGATGCTGTTTACTCCCTTCACTTGGCAAATCAACAGAGGCTCAAAGGTCAACAGCCTGCCCAAGGTCACACTGTTGTGACAGAGCTGTCACTTAAATCCAGGCCAGAACCCAAATTCCTTGAGTTGAATCTGGGTAATCAGAGTGCATTGATCACAAAGCGAAGAGAAGACTGTCAAATGAACCACTTTTAACAAATCGTTAACAATTACTAAGTTCTATCTTGAAATAGCATAAAGAACAATGTCAGATTATCTGCAAATTCAAATTTAGCCATTAACAGTCCTGTATTTAGAGGAAAGTTAACAATAAAATATTATGTTTCAGAACATAGCTCTGAGTGATTTTCCCTCTTACAGGCTGCAAGGGACTCAAGATAAATACTACCCTCCCATGACAACACATGGACCAAAGCACAACAAAGGCTACACTAACTTTTTGCTTGTTATCCTCATTTCTGATCATGGGATATACAGTCATAAGCATTGGGACTCTTGGTGCAATACCTAACTTTTCTAGCATTAAAAAAAAAGTCAATATAACGAGCTTGGTCATGAGTTGGTAGCTATTGATGCGTAGGTGATGGTTCTATGGGGGGGTTCATTATACTATCCTGTCTACTTTGTGTACATTTAATATTTTAAAAAATTTATGTTTAAAAAAGTTCAATAAATAAATATTGTTTTATAAAATGTAAATTAAAAAAATAATGCCTGTGTGACTTATTACACAGATAATGTTATATCTGTGAACAGCCATTCAATGTATTATAAAAGCAACTGGCCCTGCTGGTGTAGCTTAGTGGTTGAACATTGACCTATGAACCAGGGGGTCATGGTTTGATTCCACTCAGGGCACATGCCTGGGTTGCAGGCTCGATTCCCAGTGGGGGCTGTGCAGGAGGCAGCTGATCAATGATTCTCTCTCATCATTGATGTTTCTTTCTCTCTCTCTCTCTTTCTCTCTCTCTCTCCCCCCCCCCCTCTCTCTCTCTTCCTTCCTCTCTGGAATCAATAAAAACACATTTTTAAAAATAACTGGATGCACAACAAAGTGATTGCATCTCAGCTATGTAAGTTTTCAGGTTCACAAAAATTATACATGGGGAGGAGTAAAGTAGAAACTAAAATAATTTAAAGGTGAACTCTGGCTTCTTATCACACAAAAATAGTTTTGTGTAAGGCAGATAACTGCTTTAATATTAATAGCCAAATTTACAAAACACTCTATTTTTATGATTTCTTAGTTAATGCTAATACTTAACACTTTGGCTATATATGCATTTTCCCCTCTTTATTTGCTTGGATTAAAAAAGTAAGCTTCACACAGACACATGAAGACAATGTAAAAATAAAACAAATACTTACTAAGAAATCCTCATAGAGCTGAGTGTGACTGACTTGCAAATGTCTTATCAAACTGCCATTGAAGCTGCTAGGGTTCTCAGTAGGTATCAAACGGCAGAGTGGGCAGAACTGGAAACAGACAAGACCAAGAGTTCAAGGAAGAATTTAAAATAATCACTAATGTCAGAATTAAAACATCAAAGAGCCAACTACTCAGCCATTAGAAAGGATGAAATCCTACCACTGATGACAACACGGATGGACCTTGAGACTATGCTAAGCAAGAGAAGGCGGTCAGAAAAGCAAAGAACCATACGATTTCCCTCACACATGGGATATAAGACTGAAACTCATAGACACAGACACCAGTATGGTGGTTACCAGAGGGAAAGGGATGGGAGGTAGTAAGGGGTAAAGGAAGCCAAATATATGGCAACAGAAGATGGTCTGGTTTTGGGTGGTGGGCCGACAGTGCAAAATATAAGGATCATGTATCACAGAAATCTATACCTGAAACCTATATAATCTTATTAATCACTGTCATCCCAACAAATTTTAATTAAAAAAATAGTCATTCAATAAAGTGAAATTTAACTCGACAAATCTATTGGCCATATCTCGGTTTTATAATTTCATAAACATTGAAACAACATTAAACAAATAAAATCACATTTATTCTTGTATAAATTTCTTCTATACATATTATTGTATACCTATTATTTTCATAGTTATTAACTGATTAACTAAACAATCGTACAGTTAGTAGATGCATTCTGATGTACTTAATTAGTTACCTACCTCTTAAAATAAGTTTTTTGTCTGTAGAAATTTTATTATTACAAATGATATTATCTATAGTGTTTATCTTTCAGGGGGAGTTATATTTTTAGGATAAATGACCAGAAAAGAAGAATCATAGTCAAAGATTATGAACATTTATGGTTCATAATACCTATCGTTCTAAAGTACTTTTATTACCATCAGCAATAAAGATTATAACACATCAGCATCAGTAATTAGTATTTACTGTATTTCCTAATTTAATAGCTATGAATAGCTCTTCAAAAAAAACCCTGTCATTTTGAAATATTTATAAACTCCCAAGAAATTGCAAAAATAATTCAGAAAGGTCCCACATCTCATCACCCAGTTTTCCCAAATGGTAATATCTTACATAACTATAGCCATTATCAAAATCAGGAAGTTGGCAATTAACTAGACTACAGATCTGCCTTAGGTTTCACCAGTTTTTACATGAATTCAGTTGTGTGTGTGTGTGTGTGTGTGTGTGTGTGTGTGTGTGTGTAGTTCTATGAAATGTTATCATGGATATAGATTCATATACCTATCAACACAATCAAGATAAAGTGTCCTGTCATTGCAAAGGAGCTTCCTAGTGCTACCCCACTACTTCCTTCCTCTCCCTACCCTGGTGTCCACCAATCTGTTCCCCACCTCTATAATGCCATCATTTTGGGAATGTTAAATAAATTCAATTATACAGTATTTAATCCAGTCATATAGTACTTAATCTCACAAGCTGCTAATCTTGTGAGATTGGCTGTTTATCACTGAGCAGAATGACCTTGAGACTCATCCAAGTTGTTGCTTGCATCCATAATTCCCTCCTTTTTATTGCTAGTGGTAAGTAGACCATGATATGGATGTACCACAGTTTAACCATTTACTTTCTGAAGGACATTTGTTGTTTACAGTTTGGGGCTGTAAAACTGCATCGAACATTTGTGTAAAGATAATTGCATAAATGTTTTTATTTCTCTAGAATAAATTTCCAAAAATTTGATTGCTGGTCATATGGTGAGTATTATAGTTAACTTGGGTGGGGGGAGCCTTACTTCACTACTATACAGCAATAAAAATTATAAAAGCCACACCATAAAGTAGAACTAAAATGCCAGATTGAAATGAAAAAAGACAGCACTCACTATGAATCTAGGAAATGATGAGCAATATATATATATTTAATGCACAAACATGTGGATATATATGAAATAAACAAATAGTCTGATTAATAAAGATAACTTTATGCTTTTCTTTTTTTGTTTATTTTATATAACTTTCTACTTTTCATTTCTAGTGTATTTTCATTTGCATTATTTAAAAATATTTTTAACCTAGGATGTGACCTTGGTTATTACACCAAAGTTAGAACTTAACTGTGCATTTGGGATATTCTTAGTTGATTATGCCCAAGGTGATCTATAAGAGATAATGTCTAATTTCATAAATAAAAGAGTGAATGCACATCTGTAATTCTTATCAGTTTCAATTCAACACTTTCACATTTTGTTAATGTCACAGAATTACCATAACCTCGACATAAATTATCCTGTATAATATATCTATAAACAGAAGCTTATCGAATGAATTTTCTAATATATATTGAATTTGGACACTGCAGAAATGAAGAGTGACAAAAATTCTTACCACAGGTCTCCTTTCTGATCTGTGATGATTAACACAATGATCCAGCAAGCTGTCTTCATCCAGTTCCTTCTGGCAAAATGGACACACACACCTGGAAATTGCATAGAACAGAATATCACTAAATGATTGGCAATGAGTTAGTAGTCACTTAACTACAGAGGTAAAAAAAAAAAAATAGGTCCAGTTTCCAGGCCTCATTCTTTCTGAACTGATATAATTTTTCTCAATCCTAATGATGGTTTTGGGGCCTAAAGTTCTTCTGAGGGATTAAATGTATGTCCTTCCGGTGAGAGGGGAGAGAACCAGCTATAGTACACTCGAAGCACCATTCACTGAGAAACAGCACTAAGCACATCCACCGGTCCCTGTGTTACTTTGTCACTTTTCCATCCTCCCTTTCCTAATTTTGATTTGGGTGTTATTTGTCCTCAAACTCTTCCAGCACACATATAGGGTGGAGCAAATGTAGGTTTACAGTTGTTTGTATGGAAAATAATACAATCCTATATAATAAAGAGTTAATATGCAAATTGACCCTCATGCCCTCACACAAGATGGCAACCCCCATGTGGATCAAAGATGGCTGCCACAAGATGGCCAGCAGGGGAGGATAGTTGTGGGTGATCAGGCCTGCAGGGGAGGGCAGTTGGGGACAATTGGGCTGGCAGGGGAGCAGTTAGGCATCAATCAGGCTGGCAGGGGAGAGGTTAGAGGGTAATTAGACTGGCAGGCAGGCGAGCAGTTGGGAGCCAGCAATCCCAGATTGTGAGAGGGCTATCCGACTGCAGGTTTAGGTCAGATCCCACCATCAGTTGGACATCCCCTGAGGGGTCTCAGATTGGAGAGGATGCAGGCTGGGCTGAAGGACACCCCCACCCAATGCATGAATTTCATGCACCGGGCCTCTAGTAGTTAATAAATAATAACATAAGAATAAACTCTGTGTTTTGCATACTCACAACTATAAACCTATTTTCCCCTCCCTGCGTAACTACAAGTGTCAACTCATATAATTAGTATGGAGTGAAGAATGAAAAATGACCTTCAACTACCCTGTGAAGTCTTCACATCTGGGAATATTTGTTCCTGTCTCTGTACTGCCCGATGCGCTAGACATTGGCCATATGTGTCTATCGGGCACATGAAATATTGGTAGTCCAAATGAGATATGTCAAAGTACAAAATACACACTGAATTTCAAAGGCTTAATCTAAAAAAAAAAAAAGTGAAATATCTCAATAACTTTTATATTGATTACATGTTGAAATAATAGTTTGGTTATATTTGGGTTAAATAAAATATATCAAAAACTGATTTTCCTTGCCACTAGAAAAGCTTAAATTACATTATGTGTTCTGCATTCTATTTCTATTGGCCAGTGCTGCCTTAAATTCTTAGGGACAACATGGAAACTTGGAATTTTTTTGCTCACTTTCCATTATAGATATAACTTCCTACTTTCTAAGACTAGTATTCTAGACAAGCTGCCTGCGTAAGAAATTTAAAAATTTGAATCACGGAGTAAGTTCTTCTAAAAAGCAACGACTTCTATCTTAAATGAAAATATTAATCTATCCCGTAAGATTGATTAATTGCCAACCCTTCTCATTTTCTGTATTTTAATTCTTTACTATTTAATTCTAACTAGCAGAAGAAATTCGGCTTTAAATTGGCTTTCGATATTTTAACTTTTTATAAAGCCTATCAACCTTGCAATCAAAATACACACACTTTCTCAAACTAGTTGCTATCTTACTTTCCTATTTGGCCCTTACGGTCAATCTAACAGAATCTGGACTCTGCTTATAAATTTAAAATTTGTTCTGTCATGGTATAAAACGAATCCTATAAAACAAGGATGTCTGCAAAGCAATGTCTAGTAAAACAGAAGGAATGATGTGATCATTTAGACTTCCAGGTTAAAAAGTATAAGCTACATTTTGAGTGTGTTTTCTTAAAATAAGCAGAACTAACATTTTCCTTCAGGTGACAGAAAGAAATCACACCCCTACTGAGTCCCACTTATTGGGTAACTGAGTTTATAAGCACTTTTAATGGTTTCAAAGTCACCATTTCTTTATTTTGATAGGAGAGAGAGACAGAGACTCCAAACTTTGTAATTATTCTGGCTATCTGGACAATAATGACCCAGATTTTTTTTCCTTCTTTAAAGAGGAAAAAAAAAAAAAAAAAAAAGGAGATCAACATCTTCCCTTAAACCTACTAGCAACCCCCATCCATTGCTGGAAGCCAGTTCCAGAATGACATAATTGCAAGAGTTTCATCAAAAGGTTGATGGAATTTGGGGACTCAACAAGGGCTGAGTCACATATGTTATCACCTGTTGGGAATGGCTAAAGGCATTTCCCCCAAACCTGAATCGGATGATTGTTTCCTGCCAGACAGCTCAGGGCATCTTAATGTACATATTATTAACTCCTGTTGGCCAAACACCTGAACAGCTGTAGGCTATTCCCCATTTTGACAATGGATTCTGTACCTAACCCTACCCTTTGATTTGTATATTTCCACCTTGCCTTAGGACAATTTGTGCTAATAAAAAGCAAGGAGTCCTGAGACAAGGAAAACTTAGCTCCTTCTGCTAGGATCCTCTGACCCCCAATGCCTTCCAAAATTATCTTTGGACTTTGAGTTTGAGAAAGAGTTTGAGAAAGTCTATGCACAGCCTTTCTCCAGAGTGCTGAACCCTTCTTAATGCTAGAACAAGAACCCCCCTATCCATCTTCCAGCACCCAAAGGCATAGAATACAGATGCCTGCTGAGGCCTGTCCCTCCTTGTTAAAACATATATGGAGATGTATGAAGATCTGACTTTTTGCTTTCTAAGGAGAACCAGCAAAATGAGAGGGAATGGACTGGGAACTGGGCAGTAGTGATGGAACTGCCCAGTAAAGACGAATAAAGTCTTAATCATGATCTACTTCAGGGCTCTATTAGTCAGAAAGCAGAGCCTAGAAGAAGAAATGAGCAGTTCCGCATTGCTTGTGGGTCTTCCTTAATATAAACACGTCTGAGGGTGTTTCCCTAATCTCTCCAGAGCTCGGTTGGTGCCCTCCATGCAAAGCGTTTAGAGCAGAGAGAGCAAAATTCTTCCATAATCAGTGGTTGAGCATTAACCTATGAACTAGGAGGTCACGGACGGTTCCATTCTCAGACAGGGCACATGCCCAGGTTGCAGGCTCGATTGCCCAGTGAGGCGTGCAGGAGGCAGCTGATCAGTGATTCTCTCTCATCATCGATGCTTCTATCTCTCTCCGTCTCCTTTCCTTTCAGAAACCAATAAAAAAAATACTAAAAAACAAACAAACACAAAACAAACGGTATGATGGTTAAGAGCCTGCACATAACTAGATTTCCACAATAAAAAATTTTTAATTTCCCATTCAATTACTTGTTTTCCTTTTCTGTAACATAACATTTAAAAATGGCTTCCAATTACAATTTACATTCAATATTACTTTGCATTCGTCTCAGCATTGAATTCTGTACAGACATACCGAGGCTAGCACTAAACGATGCTCTACGGAAACAAACCTTGCTGCTGTCTCCCCAAGTTCTTGCAGAGGTCCATATTTATCTATGTACTTCTGACAGCTTCTCACATGCGCCCTCATCTCGCTGAGGCAAACCTACCGGAAAGCAAATGCAACATGAACCGGCTGCTGACAGGGAGCTCAGCGAAGCCCGCGTGGCCTGGCCTGATTGCTGCTTTCACCGCTTCACACAGGTCGCCGCGGGGGCCAGTGGGCTTTACAAGGATGCATTCATGAGGACAGCGCAGCAAAGCGGGGCGCTCTGCAGGACTGCCCTCCTTTTCAACTTCTCTAACACTCTGAAGGCCCGAACGCCGCGTGATTGATTTTGATTCTTCTAGAAAGCACTTACTTTCTTAAGTGGAAAGACGTAGGTGAACTGAAATGGACACTTGGAGAATGCCACTCCCTCAATTGGTGATGGGAAGAAGCCAGTGGGAAAGAAAAGGGAGAGAGGAAGAGGGAGGAAAGAGGAGTGGGGGGGGGGGGGAAGACAGAAAGAAACATATAATAAGTGGGTGGATTGTAGGAATACCCATAGGAAGTAGAAATGCCTCGGGAAAAGCTCTAGATACCCTGGTTTTCAATGTATATAGTATCGTCCCATGAATTCACAATGCACAGCGCACTTAGTGGCCCCATTAAGAGCGCACATGAAGGAAGCTCTGCAGTCCATTTTTATCAAGGCCGAAGAAAGGGCCCTTGTCCCTCCAGCTATACACCCAGAGCCCTCCCCATGAGAATCTGTGGCTCAGTGACACCCGTTCAACCAAAGCTTCCGTAGGAACTCTGACAAGGCCCGCCCGGTGCTGGAGGGGCTTTCGCAGCTGTGCTAAGGCGGCCGCCCCCCTGCTTCCCGCTGCCCACGCCACCGGGGGGAACCCTCACACTTGGAACAGTGATAGTCGCTTCACAAAAGAGCAAAAATAAGAGCAGGTCCTGGCCTTCGGAATGTCTCTGTGAAAGATGTGAACACTGGGACTGATGTGCTGGCCGCCTTGAAACAGACGGTTACACCATCTCCAACACCTGGCCCTGCCCACCAGGGCCCCCTCCTCTCTCCTCTGCCTGGCTGAAGGATTCTTCCTTCCTCTGTGGGCTCCTTTATCAGCAGAGTTAAAGGGTTCTTCGCATCCATCAGCCATCTGGGGGCCCTATGTACTGACCAACGCACTGCTAAGTTCATCCAGTGGCCACTCTAGAGACAAAAGCAGGTAAGGCAATGTATGAGATGACAGTATGAGATGACAGGAGAGACACACCACTGTGGCTGGCCCGGCCGGCGTGGCTCCTTGGTTGAATGTCGACCTATGAACCTGGTCACAGTTCCAGTTTATGGGCACATCCCCAGTGTGAGGCATGCAAGAGATAGCTGATCCATGATTCTCTCTCGTCGTTGATGTTTCTATCACACTCTCCCTCTCCCTTATCAATAAAAACCTATTTGAACAATAAATAAATAAACCACTGTGCTTGCTGTAAAGCTGTTTCTAATCTAATGGAAGGGGGAGAGGCGTTGCGTTATTGGTTTTGGTTCTTCAGAAAGAACGAAGACAAGCAGGGAGGAGGCTGATCCTGGGCACTGAATACGGAAGCCAGGGTCATGGGATGGAGCTCCGTCCTGGTTCTTCAGCGTAAGTAGCATCTAAATGGCTATAGAAGAAATGGCAGTGTCCCTGGCAGGACGAGTAATGGAAAACGGAAGAGATGGACACAAGAAGTACCCCAAAGAGAAATGCAAAATGCAGAAATGGGCGGGGAAGGGGGGAGGGGGATGGAAAAAAGAAAGGAAATTTCCACCCAGAATAATTGAATGTTCTTGTTTCTGACGGACACCAAAGGTGGGATAAAGAATGGGATGACAGCCCTAACCACAGAGCCCAATATCCACAGCACAGCGACTGAAATCTCTTTGGAGAGCCACATTTTTTAAACTTAGACTTCTTCTAACGCCACTTCTTCAGAATAGACTCGCCCAGGCCGTGGTGTTTTTGTGGAAGAGCCACCCTCAAGGGGCCTAAGAGCCGCATGTGGCTCGAGAGCCGCGGTGTGCGGACCACGGGCCCAGGGGGACCGATGAGCTGTGTCGCGCTGGGCCCAGCGGTGCCGGCCGGTGGCGGGAGCCCAGGGCACTCACCAGGGCGCCGCACTCGGCGCAGTTCTGGAACTCGGACTCCATCCTCTTGGTCACGTCTGTGGCCGGCACTCCTTCGGAAGGGAGGTAGGCCCGGCAGTACGGGCAGGTCCACCTGCTGCTCTTCAGACTGGCTGCGATGCAGGAGCGGCAGAACCTGCGGAGGCACACCGCGGGGTCACTTTCCCCGAGGGCATGCCCGAGCCACCGTGCGGGTTCACAGTGGGAACGGCATGGCAGTGGCCCTGAGTACCCGGGGGCTGCAGGACCACAGGGCAGGTCCATCTGCTCCCGGCACTGGCCCATCTCTTACCCCTCCCCCTGCAGCAAGACTTCTCCGGGTCACCTGTTCTCACCGCATGCATTGCCCACATGGAAACAAAAGGGCACAGACAGCGTGGAAACCTGGCATTTCTAGAAATGGAGTTAACATGGAGTTAACAGTTACTGTATTCTTTCTCCTCTTTAATCCCACTTTACCTGCAGTTTTGGGGGAAATGGGTATTTGCTTTGTAGAATTTTTTTTAAAAAAATGTATTTTATTGATTTTTTACAGAGAGGAATAGAGAGGGAACAGAGAGTTAGAAACATCGATGAGAGAGAATCATCGATCAGCTGCCTCCTACACAGCCCCTGCAGGGGATGTGCCCGCAGCCAAGGTACATGCCCTTGACCGGAATCGAGCCCGGGACTTTTCAGTTCCCAGGCCGACGCTCTATCCACTGAGGCAAACCAGTTTCGGCTGCTTTGTAGAATTTTGAGTGTTAGATAGGAAAATAGCAAGCGGAAGCCCCGTCAGCATGGCTCAGTGGTTGAGCATCGAAACCAAGAGGTCATAGTTCGATTCCTGGTCATCGCTGTTTCTAACTCTCCATCCCTCTCCCTTCCTCTCTGTAAAAATCAATAATATATATATATATATATATATATATATATATATATATATATATATATATATTTTTTTTTTTTTTTTTTTTTTTTTTTTTAAGGGAACGGAGTTCAAAAGCCATCATGGGACTCGTAGCTACTACTCAAACTGCTTGTCATCCGCTGGCTGGCACCATGGAATGGTTGTCTCCACTAGAGGGGTGTTCACCCAAGTATCCACGCTGCATTTGGTTGAAGAGTCAGCCATTAACTCACTAATACTTAACCCCGACTACGTGCCAAACCTTAGAGGAATGGCAACATGGGAAGAGGCATTCCTGTACTAAAAGGGTGGCTTGCAGAGCTTTGGGCTTGGATGGTTCGGAGGACTCCATTTGGCCCATTTTAAGGGACCCTCACGCAGGCACCTCGGGAGAAGGAGGCACCCTACATACACCTGTTTTAGCACCAGGAGCCTGGATGCTTCTCATCTACACTGCCAAGTGCCATCTGAAGTCAAACAACAGGTCAAACGGTAGGTCACTGATCATTGGCCATCGTCGGGGAACTTCCACACCTCAACCCGACCACCTGCATCTGTGCACGAAAGCGCCGAGGAACATTTCCGGGTAACTTAAAACGCACCGGTCGATGATTCTTAGACTCGGAGAACCGCCAATTTGGTGTACACCCTCTACTGCTTATACTTGTCCGCAAATGGAACGTTTCAATCCATTCCCAGAGAGCACTTCAGAACTGTCCTCAGCTCTTTCATTATTAAGTAAGCTCTGTCACACAGAGCCATTTAATGCAATCGGATCGATGGAGATTCTGCAGTAAGTACTTGGCTCTGCTAGTGGTAGGGGCAAAAACAGAATATTGGGGCTAGCTGTGGTTATGGGAAACACTGATCATGCCGTTAACCATGACTGCCTTGTGCTGGTTAAAGAGAGGACATTCTGCCCTTAGCCGGTTTGGCTCAGTGGATAAGAGCACCGGCCTGTGAACTGAGGGTCCCAGGTTCTATTCCTATTAAGGGGACATGCCAGGGACACGGGCTCCATCCCCCAGTAAGGGGTGTGCAAGAGGCAGCCAATCAGTGGTTCTCTGTCATCACTGATGTTTCCATCTCTTTCCCTCTCTGGTCCTCTCTGAAATCAATAAAAATGGAAGGAAAAAAAGAAGGAAGGAAGGAAGGAAGGAAGAAGGAAGGAAGGAAGGAAGGAAGGAAGGAAGGAAGGAAGGAAGGAAGGAAGGAAAAACATTCTAACCTGGCTGGGAGTTGTACGCCCTGGGACCTGGGAGTCACCCTTGGCATGTGGTCCATTCTCACTCAGGAACTGCCTATTATCATGGGAAGATGAACAACCTTGTTGCCCAAACAATGAAGTTCCACCACAGCCCACACTGCCTACTTCCCCTGCCTGGGGCCCCTACTTCCCCAAGGAATCCTTGTCCTACCCGATAAAGCAGCTGGCTGATGGGGGGCTGCAGAGCAGACTTCTGTGGGTGCCTGCTGCTCTCCCGTACTGGAGCCTGGAGCCGGCAGGACTGAATTAACGCTCCTATATGCGTCACCCGCTCTCTGCTTAATTGGCTCCAGTAGTGACAGGCAGCGTGGACCCATTGATTGCCCAGTTACAGGAGGTCCGTTCTCAGGTCTTTTTAGAGAACTCCCCCACCAAAACCGGTGTGGCTCAGTGAATAGAGCGTCGGCCTGTGGACTGAAGGGTCCCGGGTTCGATTCCGGTCAAGGGCATGTACCTGGGTTGCGAGCACATCTTTAGTAGGGGGCATGCAAGAGACAGCTGATCGATGAATCTCTCTCATCAATGTTTCTAACTCTCTATCTCTCTCCCTTCCTCTCCGTAAAAAAGTCAATAAAATAAAAAAATAGTCACACACATACACACACAGAAAAATAAATAAATAAAATTAAAATAAGAGAACTCCCCGGCTGCTCCAGTTCTGGTCTCTTCCTCCAAGCCCACGCTCCCAGTGCCTCTGGAGTGTCTCCCGTCAGATGGGATCTCTCCTATGGGCACTTTCACAGGCCCGATCCTGAGTCATCACCTGCCCCCTGAGCTCCTGAGTTCCTGAGATCCTGAGTCATCACCTGCCCCCTGAGCTCCGCTCCCCAAATCTGTCCTCGGTTGGGAAGCTGCCTTGCACTTCTTTCTCCCCACGGATCTACCTTATCCAACTGGGCAACAGAGGTCTTTGCCTGTTTCTGGATATTTAAGTGTAAATCAGGTTCCCTTTAAGTTTCATTTGTACAGGTTCACTACCCAGTCCGGCTCCTGCGATAACAGAAGATAAGGAAAAGATAAAGAAGCCCCCCCTTCAACCCCCCCAGTGTATTTTCACAAGTGATAAGAGAGATGATGGTGGATTTCAAGAAATTCCATTTTAAAGTTTCATCACTTTAAAATGGAATTTCTTGAATCCCACCTTTGGTGGCCCTTTTGTTTCCCCCCATAAGTACAGAGAGAAGGAATAATAGCCCTTTAAGGGTTCTGGCTTAGTGGAAGGATGGTGAAGGCGATACAAGCTAGGTGTTGAGCCTTTATTAGGGCTCCTGGTACGTGTTAAACACTCATCCAGCCCCATGACTCACGCTGCTTTACAAGTGAGACAGACGCAGAGAGATTAAGCCACGTGCTGGTCCTCACCCACCGTTCCTACTACATCACAACACAGCTCACAGAGTGCTATAAGGCATTGTTGCCATGGTTACAATGAAATAGGTTTGTGTTTACATGAATGAGCCTAAATGACCTCGTTCAACAAGTTCGGAAGTTAGCTTTAACAGGGGATAGCACAGAGGTTTCATTTGCATATCTTCATTTTCCCCGGTACCTTCTACGGAACAGAGTGATGGATTTAGGAAGGACAGACGGTGTGCACACCACTTCCATCCCCAGGGCAAAGCGGAAGGGGCCCACGGGACCTTGCCAAAAGCAGTAATGTGGAAACTCTGCCCACAGCCAGAACAATGGCCACAGATTTGTCCAAACAAAGGACAGCCCAGTGAGAAAGGCCAGCGGTCCAGCCCTGGGCAGATTTCATGCCCATTTTTCCCGGCGGCTGGCTTCCTAGTCGCTCCCACAGAGAAAAAGTGGAAACAGGCCTTAGCGTTTTGCGAATGTGTACTCATTATCCTCTGCAGAAGCAGAAGCGCTGCACACCGTGAGACACAGCTTTCCAACCGAACCGGGGGAGCAGTCCGCTCAGATAACCGTCCCCAGGACCCCGCAGCAACGCTGCCTCAGAGCCTTCCCGACTCCATAGCCACGGTGCCCCTGGCCGGCGGCCCCGCTTTAAAGCTAACTCTGCACGATGCTAAATGGGAATGAGGCGGTCCGGCCTGAACAAATCCACATGTGACATGGTCCCAGCCTCGCCGCGGTTCCCGTGTGGCCGTGGGCTCCATCGGGCAGCTGGCAAACAGCACCCCGATCGGACGGCAGGTGCATTAGCCTTGAGGGTCAAGTGCAGAGCTGAAACCAGGGCCCGGGGACAGCGGGGAAACGCCAGGACATGCTCAGTGCTCCACAGTGTGGGTGGAGATTCTCTCCCGGGCTCCCTCACCGCCGGCTGCTGCAGCATGAGAGCCACTTGGCGAGTCCGAGGCTGGAGGTGTGAGGGCCGCCGCAGGTCTTTGAAAGAATTTTGTGCGCTTACGTTTAGAATATTTACTTTTGCTTTGTTTTAAGCGGTGAGCTACATCTAACTATGGTGGTGGGCGGCCTCGGTTTGCGCTCTTGCTCCAGCCATCCCCACTGGCACCCAGTCCCCACTGGCACCCAGTCCCCACTGGCACCCAGTCCCCGCGCCCACAGGCCCCGCGCCCACAGAGCAAGCTCCTAAGAGCACAGTCAGGATGCACTCCGGCTGCCAGCGGAGCGAGTGCGGGAGCTCGCGGTTCCCGTTATTGGGTTCCGCTCCCCGGCGGCGCGGGCGGGGCGGCAGGGACCGATCCCCTGCGCGTCCCAGAGGGGGTGCGTCCGCCTTCGGGGCGGGCGCGGGGGGGGGGGTGCACACGCCGGGAACGCGGCACCGCACGGCCAGGAAAGCAAACCGCACCCCGGGGTCTGGGGGGCCGCCCCGCCGCGCCGGGGTTTGGGGGAACCGTGCCCGCCCGGGAGCCCCTACCCCTGCCCAGGCGGAGCTCCGGGGCTCCCCCGCCGGCCCGGACCCTCCCCGCCCCAGCAGCCGGCAGCCGGCTCCACCCCGGGACCCCCCCCCCCCCCACACACACACACGGGCGCCCGCACCTGGGCGTCCGAGGGAGCAGCTCCGGAGCCGTAGGGCCCGCTTTTTGGCTGTTTTTTCCTCCCGAAATCCGGTGTCACCTTCCGACCCGAGATCCCCGTGGCCCGCACCCGGATGGGTCCAGGTTCCCCCCGCGCCTTCCGCCCCCCCTCCTCCCCCCTCCCCGCTCCCCGGTCCCGGCCCTGTGGGCTCTCCAGTCCCCGGTCCCCCCTCCCCGCCCTGTGGGCTCCCGCTCCCCGGGCCCCGCGCCCCGCGCCCCGCTCCCCGCTCCCCCCTCCCCGCTCCCCGCGCCCCGCTCCCCGCTCCCCGCTCCCCGCTCCCCCCTCCCCGCTCCCCGCGCCCCGCTCCCCGCGCCCCGCTCCCCGCGCCCCGCTCCCGGGCCCCCCTCCCACTCCCCGCTCCCCGGTCCCCGCGCCCCGCGCCCCGCTCCCCGTTCCGGCTCCCGCCCCCCCCGCCCTCCGGCCCGGCCGCTCACACGTGGCCGCAGCGGGTGCGCACGGGCCGGTGCAGCACCTCCAGGCACACGGCGCAGTCGAAGGACGGGGCGGGCGGCGCGGGGTCCGGCCGGCGCGGCGGGGCCCGCGGGGGCGCGGCGGGCACGGGCTTGCCGCCGTCGCCGCTCAGCACCGAGCCCATCGCCCCTCCGCCGCCGCCGGGCTCCCGCCGGGGGTTTGTGGTCCCGGAGGCGGGAGGCGGGAGGGCCGGGCCCCGCGATCGCCGCCTCCCCGCGCCCGCCCCGCGGCCAGCCCCGGGCGGCGGCGAGTCAGGAGCGGCCTCCGGGCGGCCCGGGGGGAGGGGGGCGGAGGCGGGGCTAGGGGCGGAGGTGGAGGCGGGACGGGGGCCTGGGTGCGGGATGCAGCGCCTCGGGGTCCGGCGGGATTGAAACCTGAAACTGCGACTGCAGAGCAGAGGGCTCCGCGGAGAACCTTCCAGGCACACCCGCCTTCTCCCGGGGCAGGTTCGGGAAAGCTGAGTCTATGGGAATCGGCGGGCACCCGCCGTCAGGGTGGTCCCATCGCCCTGCACTGTCATCCTAACAGGCCACAGGGGTGCTGGGAGGCTGAGCGGCTCCCGGGACGGCGCCCCTCACCGCTCCAGGCTCATCTTGGGAGAGGGCGCCGAGTGCTGGAGACCAGCCCTGGTGCCGGCACCAAAGCCGGAGCTCCGTGCCCATCCCTCCTGCCCACTCCTCCGGCTCCGGGTCTCCTGCTGCTGTTTGTGTTCTCTGCCCCTTTCCCTTCTAAACAGAACCAAAAATATCATTTATTTTTTAAAAAACATATTGTATTTACTTTTTACAGATAGGAAAGGAGAGGAATGGAGAGTTAGAAACACCGATGAGAGAGAAACATCGATCCGCTGCCTCCTGCATACCTCCCACTGGGGATGTGCCCACAACCAAGGTACATGCCCTTGACCGGAATCGAACCTGGGACCCTTCAGTCCGCAGGCCGATGCTCTACCCACTGAGCCAAACCGGTCAGGGCATGAAAAAAAAAATATATGTATCTCATTTATTAATACGATTTATTTAGTGCCTACTGATGCCAGACTATATTCTGGTGATGGGGACCCGGTTCCCTACCAACAAAATTCAGCTTTTCTCATCTCAGGATTTACTAGAAAAATAAAATTTGAGATAATTATAGTTCCACATGCTTCCTAAGAAACAATTTATAATACATAATATACATACAATACTATGTAACACAATAATACATAGAAATCCAAAATGATCCCGTAAACTTCACCCAGTTCCCCCAGACTTGAATTCTAACGAGAAGATACAAGTAATGGACAGATAAATAAATGAGCAAGGTCATTTCCGATAACAAGAGCCAGGAAGAAGAACAGGGAGAGAGGGTGCGGGAAGGATAAGAAGGTCAGAGAAGCCTTTTTTGGATGCGATATCTGAGCAGCAGCATGCATAATGAAAAGGAGAGAGCCGCTCAGAGATTTAGGGACAGAGCTGGCTAAGCACCGGGCCCAGGGAGGGAAGCCAGGACGAAAAGCGGGAAGAAGGGGCGTGGGGCCGGAGCATGGGGGACCGGAGGTGTCGGGGGACGAGAAGAGGTAGGGAATAGGCCTGATCGCAGCCAGTTTCACAGGCCCAGGCCAGAGTTTGGGTTTCATTCCAGGTGCCATGACTGGATTGAGTCTGACTGCTAGGTGGTGTCAAAAAAAGACAGAAACAAAATAGGAAAGCATAGAAGCCAGTTCGGAGGCCACTGGCTTAGTCCGAGTGAAGAGGATAAAGGCCGGGACCTGCAGGCTAACTGGGGAGAAGAGGAGAAGGGGCCGGTGTGGGACACAGCTAAGAGAAAGACCTACAAGGGCTTGCTGATGAACTGGATTCCGGAATCCTTCAAGTCAAAGGCACAACAGCTTGTGGACCTAGCCACCTGGCTGGTTAGGCATCGTCAGCTCAACACGTGTAATAACAAACTCATTACAGCAGCCGCCCACGTGTCTGTCCACCTCCAGCTGTTCAGCTCTGTCTTAGCTCCAGGCTCCGCCCAGACACCTGGACGCCGTCCTTGATTTCTTCCTCTTCCTCATTCACATTAGATCCATCAGTCACAGTCAGAATTCTGCCCTCAGCATAGGTCTCAGAGGTTTCTTATTCCGTAGTTCCTGAATTGCTTTCTTTTTCTCTGTCCCCACGGCCCGCTACCACTTGCTGTAAATCACTGCGTTTTCCGGTGTGACCTGTGGCAATAGTTCCCGTTCCTTCCCCCTGCTTTCACGGTGGCCACAGCCCAAGCTATTATCCACATTGCAAGGAAAGCAACACTTTTACAGGCAAACATCCGGTTACGCCTCGCTCAAACCCTTCAACGGCTCTCCATAAACCTGCTACATTTCTCTACCTTTCAATCAAATTGCAGGTCTTAGCTTGGTCACTTTCCTTTTTTAAGAACACATTTTGATTGATTTCAGAGAGGAATGGAGAGGGAGAGAGAGAGAGAAAAACATCAGTGATGAGAGAGAATCATCGATCGGCTGCCTACTGGGGATGGAGCCGCAACCTGGGCATGTGCCCTTGACCAGAATTGACCCTGGGACCCTTCCATCCGCAGGCCAACACTCTATCCACTGAGCCAAACCGGTTTGGTGACATTCTGCACCACATCCATGTCTCATAGTCTCATACTGCCTCCTCCATTCTTTGCTAGTCTGCTCTATTTGCCTTCCGATTGATTCTGCTTGTGGCTGCTCCAAACGTTAGAGAGAATGCATGTAAAGTTCCTGGCATGTACGAGGCGATACATATGCTTATATACATAACTCAGTACTAACACACAAGGTAGAGAGTATTGTTCCTATTCTATAGGCTCAGAAAATTTAACATAGCAAAAGGTCACGTAGCCAATAACCGGCGGAATCATGTTTTAATTCTAAATCTTTTATTTCAAAATCTGTCTGCTTTTCACTAAGGCACTTATGACAAAATGAGAAGTGCCAAGAATCTTGGGAAAAAATTAACAAAAAAAAATAGCACAGGAAAATGGGATCTGGGAGGACAGATAAAAATTAAGCATCTGATGCCGAAACCGGTTTGGCTTAGTGGATAGGCGTCGGACTGAAGGGTCCCGGGTTTGATTCCTGTCAAGGGCATGTTGTACCTTGGTTGTGGGTGCATCCCCAGTGGGGGGTGTGCAAGAGGCGGCTGATCGATGTTTCTCTCTCATCGATGTTTCCAACTTTCTGTCCCTCTCCCTTCCTCTCTGTAAAAAATAAATAAAATGTATTAAAAAAGAAAAAAGAAAAAAAGAAAAGACAGACAAGAGAAAAAATCTGGGTGTGGGTGGGACACTGTCCTCTCTGATGGAGAGACAGCACCATGGCCTGTAAGCCAAGTCTGCACTGGGGGGTCTGCACTGGGGGGTCTGCACTGGGGGCTCTGCAGTCGATGTGGCTGATGTCCCCTTCTGAGACAGCCCAGAAGGCCGGGAAGGAGCCCGCAGCTCCTGCCGTGGGCGAGCCTCTGGGCCACGGGCAAGGTGAGCCACATTTTATCTGGGATGCACCTGCGCAGGTAGCAGCGTGGTGTTGTTCTTGGCCTGGTGTTTCTCAGCAGGGGTGCTAGGCGTGGAGGTGGCCGACACACAGGAAGTACACTGCTGGTGGCTGAGAGGCAGCACAGGTCAGAGCACAGAACTCTCAAAACAGAAGGCCCAGGCTTCCATGCTGGCGCCGGCACTGACCAGCTGCGTGAGCTTGCACGGCTTACTGAACCTCTCTGAGCTTCATCAGCTTCGTCTGTGAAACAGGGTTAGTAATGGCACCCAGCACAGAGGGTTGTGAGGACTGAATGAGTTAGTCCATGTGAAGTGGCTGGTACATTAGAAGCCTTGTTTAAAAATAAAAAATTATATATATATATATATATATATATATATATATTATTGATTTTTTTACAGAGAGGAAGAGAGAGGTTTAGAAGTTAGAAACATCAATGGGAGAGAATCATCAATCAGCTGCCTCTTGCACACCCTCTACGGGGGATGTGCCCGCAACCAAGGTACATGCCCTTGACCAGAATCGAACCTGGGACCTTTCAGTCCTCGGGCTGTTGCTCTATCCACTGAGCCAAACCATCCAGGGCAGCAATCTATTTCTTTCTTTTTTTAAAAAATTTTTAAAAATATATTTTATTGATTTTTTACAGAGAAGAAAGGAGAGGGATTAACAGTTAGAAACATCAATGAGAGAGAAACATCGATCAGCTGCCTCCTGCACACCCACCATTGGGATGTGCCCACAATCAAAGCACATGCTCTTGAGCAGAATCGAACCCAGGACCCTTCAGTCCGTAGGCTGACGCTCTATCCACTGAGCCAAACCAGTTTCGGCAGCCATCTATTTCTTGATGGTAGGCTTTCCAGGCCATGGGATTATTTGGGGATGGAATGGTTGTGAGACGTTGAAAGTGATGATACTTCTAAAACTCCTCAGTAAACTTCCTTTATTGGAACTGAATTAAGTCATATCCATCCTCAAAATAAGAATGGTCTAAATAACTGAGGCCTGGGATCCCGAAGTGGTCATTGGGGAGGGGGTTGGGTTTATCAGGTTGGAGCACAGCTGTCATCAGTTTCTCAGCCATTTGTCTGCTCTCCAATGAGAAAGGGAGTAATTGATATTGGGCATGATCCAATCATTGCCCAGTTAGTAATTCAACTGGGTGAACTGGTTGAACGAGCAAGATATATGAAGCACTTATGAACTTGGAAAATGCAGCAGAAAAGGATTAGCAAGTTCACTTATTTGTCCTTTCTTGCATTGCTATTGTTCGTCTTACATTAGATGCTCTTGTTTTAGAAGCATGAATGTCAAGGGCTAACTAAAAATACATTATTCGATTGTCTTGTCTGTCTCCTCAGTTATCGATCTGATCTCATTCAACCTTACGGACCTAACAACGAGCTTACGGCTTAAACACGCAGGAACACGAGAGTTTGTCAGATGGCCAGTGGAGGGTCCCTGGAACTGGACACTCACAGGACTTCTCATTTCCTGGTAATTTAAAGACGAGCTCGACTTGGAAGGAAACTTTTACTTCTCTATCTGCGTAACTCACATAAAATGCAGGAATACAGGGAGTTCTTGGGAAATTACATTATTAATACTAA